CCCCGTCACGGGGATTCGAACCACCGACCTTCTGATCGGCAAGTCCTAGGCTCTGTGGTTTAATCCACAGCGCCACCCGCGTCCCTAGCTTTTCCTTAGGACGTCCCTATTTTCATGTGGAAAACGTTGGAAGGTTTGGTGTTATACAACCCCCGAGCCAAGGAGATAAGTAAGTATACAACATTTAGAAGACACTGGAAGGCAGCCCTGTATAGGGACTTTTTTGTAATGTTGCATGTTTTATTATTATTTTATATGTGTTGGACGCCGCCCATAGTGCCTAGGGAAACCCAGTCAGATGGGCAGGCCATTATTATTATTATTATTATTATTATTATTATTATGGTTGCCATATGTCCAGGTTTTCCTAGACATGTCCAGGAATCAGGCAGCGAAATGTCGCCCGGGCAGATTTTCACTGAATCGACAAAATGTTTGGGGAAACCCGGAGGTAGGGCGATTTTTTTTAATTTATAAAATGCTTTAAAAATCCCAGAAAAGCCCAACAACTTTTTCCTGATTTTCACTTTTGGGAATACGGCAACCCTATTATTATTATTATTATTATTATTATTATTATTATTATTATTAAGTTGCCAAGCGTGTAAAACTGGTTGTGCACAAGTTAAGTGCCATGTAAGTTGCAGGCTTTCTGTATTGCATTCCCTGTTGTTGTACCTCAATTTCACTGAGAAGGGAGAGACATCTACGGAAACAAGCAATCCCAGAAGAATTACAGGGAATGGCACAGTGACATATCCCAGTCAGAACCAATAGGTGTTACTTTCAGTTTATGCCGGGAATGTTGTAGATGGGATTCAGGAAAGACCTGCAGGTCTTGGGCAATTTGAGGTCATCCCTCAAATAGCTCAAGAAAGAAAACATTAAAATCTAAGACTGAATCAAGCCAGAGACCCACACCTAATCATCCCTAATACAGAATTCAGTATGGGCCCATATGCGTCAATGTTTCCATTATGTTATCCACCATGACTCCTATCTTTCCTGGTAAGGATGGAGGAGAAATTTGATTCGCTGTACATTTAAATCTGAATCCATCAAATTTGCAATTTCCAAAGCAAAATGCGAACTGTCATCCTTCCATCCATCTGTTGCCGAAACCATTATTCGAAATTTGCGCTCACCCAAAATTTGCGATGCAGTTTTCCAGCCAATGTTTACAAAAATACATATAATAAAGGCACCTGTTTATTAAAAAAAAAAATGAAGATATCAGTGAAAATAACATTAAAAAATGCATTATATTAGGGAAAATGTTTCTCTTGGCGGAACATACCTCGCAAGGTTGTTGTGAGAATAAAACGGGGGGGTTCTATTGTGCCCGGAGGTCCTTGGAGGAAAGTTAGGATAATAATATAAGACTATAATGATTTTCCTTTTCTTCCTCTTGCCCACACCTCTGCAGTGTCACCCTTGGGATGCCCCTGATTTGAATCTAATTTTAAGCACTTTCTCGTTGTCCTGGCAACGGCCTCAATTTTCACAATGGGAACAATCCGGAGAAAGTTTAAGGGTGCCTTTGTTAAGTGCTTAAGACCCGTCAGTTATTTCCCGCCCCCAAAAAGGCATCTTGTTCTTTTGCACTGGCTCTGTACTCAAGGATGAAAGTATATCGCAGGCGCTGGTAAGCAGATTAATGGAGGACATCCTCTGAAGCAGGGATGGATCCAGACATGGCCAACCCTCCATGGACCCCTTTGACAGGTGGCTGCCCACCTGCCCATCACCTGTGGTTCAAGGACACAGAAAGCTGCTCCAAAGCACTGGCCCATCTAGCTCAGGACTGGCAGGGGCTGTCCAGAATTTCAAGCAGGGAGACATCTTTCCCAGTCCTAGCCAGGCTGAATCTCAGATAAAATGCTAATTGACAGAGCTTGTCAGCCCTTATAAACCAGCAAACTTTCTTTATTTGCTCCCTGTTCAAAAGCAGCATAGAGCCTTTTTGTCTGGCATGTTTGTGTTCTTCCATCAACAGTTCTAGAGTGGAGGTTCAGGAAAAATCCCCCATTGTCAACATAAATGCCAAAGTGAATCTGGAGAGGTAGAATGGCTGGATATTGTCTCTCTTTTGCTTGGTACTATTGTATACAGTACAATGCTTCTTTTTGGAATGCTAGTAACTGACCATAATAAAGAGATGTATTGATTGACTGGCTGACCTTCCATTTATATGGGCAGTCTACCTGTGGATACCAGAGCCAAAGGCAAGAGGGATGGACTGCTGCTTTCATCCCCGGCTTAAAGGCTTTTCACAGGCATCTTGCTGGCTGCTGTTGCAGGCAGAACGCTTGGCTGATCCGACAAAGCAATTCACAAAGTCCTATCTGGGGCCTATAAATATCCATTCCCCGCTCTCTCTCTCTTTTTTGCAGGAGCTGCAGAGACCAAGTTGCATTTATCTTCCTAATAGGCCCCACATCTGTGGACAACCATCAAATTCCCTGCCTGCTCTGCTGGATTCACAAATGCGACGGCAATTGAGACTGGCTGCAGGGGCAAGTCTTGCACCGCGCCAGTTATTTCTTTGGGCTGCACCATCTATTCTGGCCATCCTGGGACCGAATGTGGAAAGTCATTTCCAACGCCTCTCCTAAGAATTTAAAGAAATCCTGCTGCATCAGTCCAGTGGCCATCTAATCTAGCATCCTGTTTTCACTGCCTGTAGGGAAACCCGCAAGCAAGGTGGGTGCGGTGGATGTGGTGCGTGGAGGGTGACAAAATGCTGTGCAGCAGTCAATTGCTGTGAGAGACGCTGTTCCTTTGGTGTGCGCAGGCTTCCCAGTGCCAAAATGGTCCATCCACCGGCTCTCCCTCAGCTGTATGGCCGCCAGCAGGTTCCTCGTTGCAAGGCATGCGATATCCCCAAAAGGAGATGTGGGAGGCGGATAATGAGTGAAGGGGTGGTATTGTGCTGCTCCCATGGGATAACCGTGAGGCGAGGTCTGAGTCCAGTCCGAGGTCGAGGGTGCAGTATGGAGGCAGTCCGTCAAAGCTGAAGCTGAGTCCAAGGCAGGGAGTCGGGTGAGGTTAGGAGCTCCAGCAGAAAAGCAGGACAGGGTGCAGACAGGAACTGGCTACCAACAATGTTGGGACTGGGGCTGGTTGGCTTTTATCTGCCCCAAGGCATAGGGCGGCCCCGGTCCACAGGTGACTCACCTCTCCTGGCCTGGAGGTGAGCACTCCTCCTGCAGGAACTTAGTTCCCTCCACCTCTCGGCCCTGAGCCTCTGCAGCTCAGGAGAGGCTGGAGGGTTACAGGACCCAGAGGCAACCTCAGCTTCCTCTGACGGGGCTGAGAGTGGAGCACCTGCAGGCAATGGGTCCTCCATCACCTCAGGAGCCAGAGCAGACTCAGCTGGTGCCTGCACCTGAGGACCCAGCACAGGTGAGGACTCTTCAGGCTCATGCCCCAGCCCTGGCTCAGCTGGTTCTGGAGGTGGGGAATCCTGTGCAGGCTGGGATTCCTCAGGTTCAGCCTCCGAGTCCGAATCCCAGGCCATCACAGGTATGCAGATTAGAGCCCAACATTGCCAAGTATTTTATTCTGTCTCTTTTTGGTGTGGGTGGGTGTGTAGATCTCAATTGCTGCCCCCTTTCTCCCCCACCCATGCACCGGGATCATGCCACCCACCTCCTCTGGCCACCGTGCTGGAGAGAGAGAGGTATGCCCGGGATCCGTGGCAAGGCACTTTCAAAAAGCTTCGCAGCTCCGTTTGGACTGCCTCCCCAGCCTCTCTGCAAACCCAGATCCTTGTGGGGAACAGAGAAAGAAGCGGGGCAGAAGCTGTTGCTTTAGTGCCCCCAAGCTCCTGCTCGGAAGTAAACCTAGCTGTGGCAGCCAACGGCTGTGAGAGACGCTGTTGCTTTGGTACACCCAGGTTTCCCACTACCAAAATGGTCTGCCCGCCAGCCCTCCCTCAGCCAGCAGGTTCCTTATCGCAAGGCACACGTTCTCCCCCCAACTTTGGCTCCCCCCCCCCCAAAAAAAAAGAAATACAGTGGTACCTCTGGATGCGAACGGGATCCGTTCCGGAGCCCCATTTGCATCCAGACATGAATGCAACCCAAGTCTGCATGTGCGCGGGTCGCAATTCGCCACTTCTGCGCATGCGCGTGACGTCATTTTGACAATCTGTGCATGCGTGAGCGGTGAAACCTGGAAGTGCATGCGTTCCGTTACTTCCGGGTCGCCGCAGCGCACAACCCGAAAATACTTATCCCAAAGCTACTTCAACCCGAGGTATGACTGTAAAGTCAAACCATTGTTGCAGGCAAAAAAAAAAATAAATCAATGGGGGGGGGCCAAGAAATTTTCTGCACCAGGTACCACCTGACCTTGCTCCGCCACTGCCCACAAGCAGGACCCAAGCAGAAGAGCCCTGTGGTTTTCAGAAAGTGGTCGGTTGGCATCCATCTGTCTCAAGATACAATGGAGTGCACCTGCAGAGGTGAAGTCAGACCTCTGTGTTAGCAGCGCTGAAGTGCCCTCCCTGAAGTGCAAGCCTAGACAGTGTGCATGGAGGTCCGAGGCTGCTCAGGCAAGACTCCTCTCTTGGCCCCACTGATGTGGTCTGAAGGAAAGCAGAGCAATATGTTTGGCACCAGCTTGGCTGCAGGAGTTGCAGAAGGAGGTGCACAAGGCACCATCCAACCATCTCAAGAATGGATTTGTGTAGGGTTTACTCCTTAGCCTTTTCTTCTCCCGAAGCAGAGGTTTACGATCAGAGTTTCCTTCACCTGAGATGGGCTACCTTCCCAGGTTGACGAGTACCCTTCTGCCCTTCACTTCCCTCTACAGAACGTGCAGAAACCGCCTTATTGACTGTGCGCCCCACTCTTGGTCTCGTCTGCTCAATCCACCAGAGCCTGTCTTCACATGCAGGGGAAGTCCCTAACTCACCAAGTATTCGAGACCCATTGGTTTCCCCTCACCTGTCAAAGCTGTTCCAAGGTGTGGCCGCTGTCTCATGCTGACAGCTTCTAGAAGCCGCAGGTGAGACTTGAGTGCAGGGTGGGGACCAAAGGTGGACAGAAGGAGCACGACGGGTCCCCCACCAGAGGACCTACCCCTCGCCTAACACCCCAGCAAGTGGTTTTCAGAAGCATTAATGGCTCCACAAAATGATTTCCGAGTTCATGCACAGTGGCGTAGCAAGGTCAGGTGGTGCCCGGGGCGGAAAAATTCTTGTCACACACACACCCCCCACACACACACACATTGAAAATATAAAAAAAGGAAAAAATATGATACAGTTGCAAGTGTTATTTTCTGCTTTATTTACTTAACATTGTGAGCATAAGCACTTAAAACCTTTTTTTCATGATGGGAATTTCTTATTTTAAAAACACATATTTTTGCCATTTTGTCACTCCCCTCAGTGATGACAGCTGGGGTGGCCTGCACCCACCACACCCGGGGTGGCCCACACCCACTTCACCCCCCCCTTCCTACGCCATTGTTCATGCATCTCTTGCCAAAATATGGCTATATGTCACGCCTCTTGGTTCCAATTCTCTTTAAAGCCCTGTAGCAACACCTTTAATCTGTTTGCAGCAGCATCTTCCAAACTCTAGCCCTGGACTCCTGCTCATTACTAGCAAAACGTTGGTCATGGTTACAGGTATCAGCATGGCCAATGGTTAGGGATGATAGGAAGTGCTGCCCAACACCACCTGGGGGCAGTCGCGGACCTACATTTGGGGGGCCCTGAAACTGTCACGAGGACCCCTTCACAACTAGCAACAAGGGCTGGGTAACCATTGCGATCTTCTTCTGTGGGGTTGTTCCATGACAGATCACCACACCTTTACAACATCTGTGCTATTGGACTGTCAAACTTCAGAATTGTTGAAACATATACAACAAAAAATTAATCCATCTGAGTCATGCCACTCAAATGGGGTCTGTTAGACCCCAACATTTTAAGCAATGTGGACTAAACTTGCTTCCGGGGGCCCTCTGGGATCAGGGGCCCTGAAATGTAAGCTTCATTAGTTTCTTAATAGATCCATCCCTGCCTGGGGGGACACAGACTGCCATCCCTCCATACCTAGAGCAGAGGGCTTGCAACATATAAAGATCCTAGGATGCAGGGGTGAAATTCACAATTTCATTTCCCCACCCCCACCCCTCACTTTGGAATCACCATTAATGGCATTGTACCCCCTGTGCCGGGGACGCGGGTGGCGCTGTGGTCTAAACCACTGAGCCTAGGGCTTGCCGATCAGAAGGTTGGCGGTTTGAATCCCCATGACAGGGTGCGCTCCCATTGCTCGGTCCCTGCTCCTGCCAACCTAGCAGTTCGAAAGCACATCAAAGTGCAAGTAGATAAATAGGTACCGCTCCGGCGGGGAGGTAAACAGCATTTCCATGCGCTGCTCTGGTTCGCCAGAAGCGGCTTAGTCATGCTGGCCACATGACCAGGAAAAATTGTCTGTGGACAAACGCCGGCTCCCTCGGCCAGTAAAATGAGATGAGCGCTGCAATCCCAGAGTCGTCCATGACTGGACCTAACGGTCAGGGGTCCCTTTTTACCCCCTATGCCACAGAGGCATCAGGCAAATTGTGCCCTCACAGCCCCGCTGTTTGTTTGTTTGTTCCAACAATTTATTTGTTTATTTATTATGTTTCTGATTTATTCTATTTATTATCCAACCCTTTCTCCAGAAGGAGCCCAGGGCAGCAAGCAGCAAGCGATAAAACGTCTTTAAAAAACAATCCCAAGAAAGATACGGATCTCTGCTTAAAAGGCTTGTTGGAAGAGGAAGGTAAAGTACGACAGCTAAAGAGGCCAGCAGCCCCACACTTCCACCGCATTGTGGCAGGGGGTGTGGAGGTCAATCTAGTCTCTGCAATTAGCTCTCTCCGCAAAAGGTGTCTGATTTCTGAATCTATCCTTTGGGACAGTTCTCAAAGGGTGTGGGGTGGCCAGCCTGCACCTCAAAGAACTGGCCACTAGGTGTCAGGCTTGCACTGCTAACTACCTCTCCTGTGGTGGAAAATTCACAACGCACAGAACTAAATAACCTGGTCTGTTGAATTAATATTTCCATTATGTCTGGGAACCCGTAGAATTGTGGAGCTGAAGGTGTGGAGCAGGAATGCTTTCTTCCTTTGTTTTCCTTTCCCCTTCTTTCCTCCTCCATTCCTTTTTAGGTTAGATTTTAGAAATGTTTCTTTTATTTCGGTGCATTTTTTTTTAAAAAAAGATACTTTGCATTGGGTTTGAACTTTTGTATATCTTTGGATAAGTATCAATAAATAATAAATAAAAAGAAGACCATGGAGTCTTTAGGATATCTGGATTTATTTACAGCCTGTTCATAGGACAGAGGGGTTCACTGCCTTGACATTCCAATAGACCTTGCCTCCCCATTAGGTTTTTGGAGAACCTAAAAAGTAGAGACATCACCTTGCCAACAAAGATCTGTATAGTAAAAGCTATGGTTTTCCCAGTAGTGATGTTGTAGCCTTATTGGAGTTCACCGATTGGGTCTGCGTATGTATGTATGTATGTATTGGGTCTGTATCAATGTATGGAAGTAAGAGCTGCACCATAAAGAAGGCTGATCGCCAAAGAATTGAAGCTTTTGGATTATGGTGCTGGAGGAGACTCTTGAGAGTCCCATGGACTGCAAGAAGATCAAACCTATCCATTCTTAAGGAAATCAGCCCTGAGTGCTCACTGGAAGGACAGATCCTGAAGCTGAGGCTCCAATACTTTGGCCATCTCATGAGAAGAGAAGACTCCCTGGAAAAGACCCTAATGCTGGGAAAGATGGAGGGCACAAGGAGAAGGGGACGACAGAGGACGAGATGGTTGGACAGTGTTCTTGAAGCTACCAGCATGAGTTTGACCAAACTGCGGGAGGCAGTGGAAGACAGGAGTGCCTGGCATGCTCTGGTCCATGGGGTCACGAAGAGTCGGACACGACTAAACGACTAAACAACAACATGTCACAGCTCAAGATCTAGCACAGAGCAACACAAGCCTCTGTATTCTCCAGCTTCCAACACCAGCAAAATCTCACAAACCAAAACTTGCTTCCCTGGCATATTGCTCTGTGTGAGCTGGGGAAAGGCCCTTAGAAAGTGTCTCAAAATCCCTGCGACATTTCAGGGGAAGCACTTCTGGGGTGGCGGTGGTTTTGAGAATGATGAGTCTGCTTCTCTCAAAGAAAATGTGTGTTTGAGCCAGATGGTTTGGGGGAGGAAAGAAATCCAGGATGCAAAGAGGAACCTGGAAGGGAGGAGATTTTATTTTTATTTTTGCCAAGGAACTCACAGTGCAAATAATAAACGTCTGCTCAAGCATCCTGAGCGAAAGGGATCAAACTGAAATATTGTGAGCCCTCTGGGGCAAATCCTCCCACCCCAGCCTATGATTTGGGGTAGGGGTGGGGTTCACCTCAAACTGCCGCACTTGGCAGAGGACAGCTAGAGTCAGCATTCCTCAAATCAGATGCAGAGTTTTGCAGCTGGAAGCAAAACCTGATAGCCATTTCTAGAGCTTGCTTGTGGGCTTCCAAAGGGAAATTGCAAAGAATATCCAAAAGCACAGACTGTGGAATTAATGGACCGGGATACCACGGCTCTAATGGGGTAAAGAACTTCCTAGAAATAAAGGCGTTTTGTGGCTTGGCTCACGCACCCGAGTCACCTAAATCTCAATCTCTCTCCCGTTTCGTTTTTCAGGATCTTTTCAAGGCACCTCTTCAAGCCTGCACTGCAAGACTCTTTACAGAAGGGCAATGGTCAAGCTTGGAATCAGAGAAGCATTTGCAAAGTTCGGGTATGACTGTTCTGGCAGTATTGATTTGAGGTTGCATTTTCTGCTATGGGCCCTATTTGGCTGGAGATGGATCTTGCTTGCCACCAGGGAGAGATCTGTGTCGCAGCCGGCACCCGTGGCATAGCGTGGGGGGGCACAGGGGAAGTTGCCCCAGGTGCAAATTTGTTAGGGGGCTCAAAAGTTCGGCACTGGGTACACTTTCGTTACTGGGCTCTGTTAAAAACAGCTTCTCTGTTACAACCAGGAAGTGACCTCTCCAGTCAACGGAACGACTCTTCTTTGCTCTGGGCACCGGCAAGCCACGCTACACCACTGGTTGGCACTGTGGGAACACCATTTGACACAAACAATGTTCACCGCTGATCGCCTGGAGACGGTGAAGTCCATCTGATGCCAGCGGCATGACCATGGGTGTCTCCAGGACACTTGGTGTTTTGCCTTGGGAGAGAAGAATGTTTTTGTGATGCAGAGCCTATGATACGAGCACAGCTCAAGTAGCCTTTGCCCATTCATTCTGCAAATACCAAAGTGGCCTGTACAGTTGTGTGATTACAGTCTCCAACTCTGGCTTTTTGTCACTAAACCCCAACTTTTGCTTGTCACCAGGGCCAGATTTAGGTTTGATGAGGCCCTAAGCTACTGAAGCTAATGGGGCCCTTTATATGTCCAGCTGTCCTTTGTCAACAACAAATTAACGCTGGTTTTTGGGTTGAATATATGCTATATGGTAATTTGTGGACCTAATAAGTATCTAAAGCCTTTTGCACATAACAAAACATGCAATTTTTTTCCTTTATTTTTTTTGGGGGGTGCCCCAAAAGAGTGGGGCCCTAAGCTATAGCTTGTTTAGCTTATATGTAAATCTGGCACTGCTTGTCACAGTCTTTGATGGTGGGTGGGAAGCATAATTTTCTTAGACCATGCATGAATGTCATACCAGGAACCATCTAAGAAGGACTATATTCCTCCTTCGTTTTCATAAAGGAGGAAATGCCTTTTCCTTGCCATCTATAGTTTTAATAAGGGTTAACATTAAAATAATTTAAGCAATTATTTATTTATTTTAAGTATCGTGCCCAAATAATCACTGGTGCCTTTTTCACTAGTTTAAAAGGTTTTATTTTAATTCACACATCTATGCAGTTCAAGGCAGAAGCCCTACTAAACAGCAAATCAAATCTGGCTTTTTGATTATGTCACTGGGGAGCAAATGAAGGCTACTGCAAGTGAGAACGAGTGAGGGCAACGTAAATGAACGAAAACACCAGCATTCATAAAAATGCACACATCCAAATAGCCACTGGAAAAAGAAGTGCCATTGTAAAACTGTTGAAACTTCACAAAAAGAAAAGTGAGTAGGTTTGCCTCAGCCTTATTGATAATGTTCTTATCCCTTCTTTAAAAAAAAAAAAACTTTATGAACTACATAAATATAGAGGCACCACCTGGTGAAAGCAGCTGGCAGGAAGACGTTTTTTGTAGATATAGCAAAACTCATGGTTTTGAGACAAACAAAAACAAAAAACCTCGCCACGTGAATGTCATTGAAGGACTCATGAAACAGATCTAATATTAGGTTATTTTCACACCGACCTTCAACAAAAGCTGCAGCTTTTTCAGCGTTACAAAGGGCTCAGAAACCTTTGAAAAGCTGCTTCCCAAGCACTGTAGGCTCAAGGATATAAATCAAAGCCCAAATCCTGTCTGTTGCTCAGCTGATGCATAGCGCCAGCTGTATAATAGGTGCTGTGCACAGTGCTGAAATGGTATGGTCCTTGCCTAGGCAGCTTATAAATACTGAATATGGAAAAGAAGGGGTGGGAGTGAAGGATTGGCGTGGCAGAGACCAGGCTGAGGGTGCACAAGGACTGGGGTGTTGCTTTTGTCAATATTTGGAACGATGTGAAACAGAATCCGAATAATTTTGATGCATCGTGTGTGTGTGTCCATCAAACCCACAATTGGCATTACTGCAAATCTGATTCCTCACTCAGAAGTGCACCCCCTCTCAGATCATTATGACCCAGATACAAAGCATTTGCCTGTACAGGGGTCTCTATTATACACACTTTTCTCCTGAAGACTCTTCCAAGCTGGTCACAGAGAAACACGAGAGCTCGTGAGCGGCATCTTGCCAAAGATGAGGCACGAGAAGCCATTACATCCCTTCTTCTTGGGCAGATCCTGTGGTAAGGATCTCTCAGCCTGCTCTCTGTATAGAATACTTTTCCACCACAACACTGTTCTTCTGTTTTCGGAAAATAATGCAGATTTGCAGCAACCCAGATGAAAGCACCACCTTTTCTGCCTTGCATCTGCAAGGGTGGCAAATCAGAGATTAAAATTGCCAGTGTGGTGTAGTGGCTAAGAGCGGTGGACTCATAATCTGGTGAACCGGGTTCGCTTCCCCGCTCCTCCACATGCAGCTGCTGGGTGACCTTAGGGTAGTCACACTTCTCTGAAGTCTCTCAGCCTCACTCACCTCACAGAGTGTTTGTTGTGGGGGAGGAAGGGAAAGGAGAATGTTAGCCGCCTTGAGACTCCTTAGGGTAGTGATAAAGCGGGATATCAAATCCAAACTCTTCTTCTTCTTCTATGGGGAAACATTTGCAACTCTGAAGTTTGTGGTGGACTTGCCCCAATGAGGCAGTGGCGAGGACTGAAGGTCCCCACCATCCCACCACTCTCTTAAGATTCCTCCTTCCCGGGTTCCTTCCCCAGCAGCCTAAGACTGCTTCATCTTTTCTCACTTCGCTCCATTCTCTTCATTCTTCTGGATGTTCTGGAAGACCAGAGAGGAGGGGAGCTGCTTGCAGCAGGAGGGGGAGACTCCCTGGAGCAGCTAGTCTCCACTCTGCTTCTTGACCCCCACCCCTCTCCAGCCTCCACTTCTGCCTCTGGTTCTGAACTGCTCTCTGCCACAGACCTACCCTGCTCACTAAAGCCTGTTGCCTCTTCAGCTTCTGACACCTCTCCCTCCGACCACTCAGTGTCGTCCCACCACCAATCCCCTGGCTCTGAGCCTTCTTCCTTTGGGGGTTCCCTTAGGGGTTCTCCAGCTGGTGCCTCCCACCACTCTTCTGCATCCAGCCAGTCCAGAATACAGCTTCTCCCCACCCCCATGCACTCGCCTTCTTACTTACAACCAGTCCAAGAGATGGCACTGCCTGCCAGCCCCTTCCCCCTCAATCCCAGTCTTGTAGAACTCAGCAGAGAAGTGGACAAGGAGGATAGGGAGCAAATAAGGATTAGTTGGCTCTGTCTGTCATCTGCTCTGGCTCCCCCTACTGTTGGCCTCCCTGGCTTCTGCCCTGCCAGTCCCAATGGGCTCCAGACACCAATGAGCAGAATTGTTGGGCAGTTGGGGAGACAGCGTCGGTTCCTCCACACAGGGAGCC